ACCTCAGTCCTGAGGTGCTGAGATCCCACAGGCTTGTTGCCGTGTCATACGTGAGTTATGTCAGGATCTTCAGCAGCCTTAGCTTTTCTCTTTTTAATGCTGCAAAAAGGGCTCAGGTAGCGACTTTTCGGGATCATGGGAGTACATGAGCATCTGATGACTCAAGTTAGTTTAAAAAGCAGTATGTTAGGGAGCTGTATAAATCACTGTGTGCATGTTTGATTCAAGGTGGTTATTTTCATGAGTGATGCAAAAGAAAAAAGGAAACAAGCTGAGAAAACCTTAGCTATAAAGCAAAGTGTACAGGTTCAGGAAGCAATGTTTTTTTTTTTGTTTTGAAATTACAGAACAAGATTCCATCCCAACAACACTCATATGAATCATTAATAATTTTTAATGTGCATCAGTTCAAATTCCTATAGCAGAACTAATCAGTACCTTCAATAAATCAGAGGTAGATTAGAATTACATCAAAATGCACATTAATTTTAATAGTTTTCATGTCCCATCCTAAATAAATAGACTTAGACATAGTGTTTGCTAAGAAATGTTGCATTACCAAAGGACAGAGACAGGCTCTCAGTAACACTGTCATGCTGTACAAGAAAGCGATATCTCTCTCCTGTTCTCCTTGATAAACAGAGGCCTGGTAAACCTTGGAACCAAAAGCACGAGAGGACCTTAGATTCAGCTGGTGGAAATGAGTGCTACACCATCTGCTCAGCATACCTCCGAGAAAAAGCACCTATTTCCCCTTCTCATTCACGTAATTAGTGAGCTGTGAAATTAGTTCTTTAATGGATAGGAAACCTGGAGATTATTGCACTTGTCACAATACAATACAATGCAATGCAAAATGAGCTTATATAGTGCCTTTCATGCAAAGGCATCCTGAGGCTCTTTACAATAAAACTAAACATAAAAATGCAAAAATATTCTACCATTATAGCCCATAAGCTACTGTTAAAGAGAAAAATACACACTCACATTTAAATGGCTCTCCCAAGGAGAGATTTCAGAATTCAAACAGAAATAAATCCTAATTTCAAAAAAAGCCAGCATAAGAGGTTTCAATGATCTCAGGCTCCAAGCAGTTTATGCAGGGCTTTCAAATCAGTCAGAAAATATTTTTGCTGCCAAATTGTTCATTATCTTCAAGGCATTAAAGTGCTTTTAAGGCAAGCTGATATTTGACAAGGAGGCAGTGAAACACCAAAAAGCTGGAATGACATGCTGAGTAAGCGTCATGAAAAGTTTAATACTCTAGAAGCAAGACTTGGCAGTAGTCAAAGTCTAGACAACAGCTTTTTTAAATAAGTACAACACATAAATCTGACTCAGAAATGCAAACTGGTTGTTAAATCAGTTTAATTTCTAAAACTGTAGTCCTTGTATCAATGAATGAAAGTAGAAATTGCTATGAGACTTTAACAAAAATATACCACCAAGAAGCAATCAGAAATTCAAGCCCAGCACCAACTGATTAATTAGATGCAAATTTGGAAGCAGAACTCTTAAGACTCATCAGAAGGAATCAAATGGACATTATGCCAGATGCAGAACAACATGCCTTTCTGTCAAATTCCATAAGCCACTGAAGTGGCAATCTGTAGGATGACAAAAAACACCCAAAGATGTCAAAGGCACGTGATAAGCTCCACAGATATATGTTGTGAGGGACTGGATGGGGTTGCTCAGAGATGTGGTTGTTCCCATCCCTGCGAGTGTTCAAAGCCAGCTTGAATGGAGCTCTGAGCATCCTGGTCCATGGCAGGCAGGGCTGGGGTTAGATGATTGTTAGGGTTCATTCCAACCCCTTAACATTCTGTGATTCTGAAAATATGTTGTCAAAATCTGTTCATCAAAGACAAAGCAAATGAGGAAGAAAATGCAACAGTGTAATGTCCATAACTCAGTTGACAAGCCCTGTCCTATCAGATGAATAAATCTGGACCCGTATCTACCAGTTACTGCTGTCATCAATATAAAGTTACAAACATATCACAAATTAAGTATATCTAGATTTTCTTGCAAAGACAAATATGTTGCTAATTAAAATCTCTGAACAGTTCTTAAAATATTCTAGAAGAAAATGTCCTATTCAAACTAAAACAGAAGTAAAAAATTAACTTTGATACATAGTATTCTTATTCTCTAATCAGTTTTGCACCAAACTGAATTGGCTCATTAAAAATTTTAATGGAAGATATTGTACAGTTCACTTAATGCACAGCATGTGTCAAGCTTATTTTGTTGATTAGTAAAGTATGGATAAAGTTCATTACATTTTAGTTCTTTTGATATCTTTACCTATATTATCTGAATAATACTTCTAAAGTAGAATAGCTTATAATTTTCATATGCTCATTATTCTCTTCAAGATCATCTTTGTCTTCCTATCTTTAATCAGTAAACTTTTATCCTTGTGAGATAAATCCAACTGTATTTCAAAGGTCAGACTGTTCATAGCCTTCTGCTTATTGTCTTATGGTCACTAATGTATTCTGAAAAATTTTGTGCATTAATTACAATGATTCTCATGTTCTTTCAAGTGTGACTTCCTCAGCTGCATCAAGAATGAAAAGAAACTGCAAATGCTCACAAATATATACCTGCATTTGTTTCCTAGGTGACCATGACAATAGTATTCAATAAATGCATAGAAGTGACAGAACACTTTCACATTTTATTGACATAGTCCTTGAAAAGGTGTGAACACATTAAAGCAATGTATATA